TTCAGCCTTCTCTTGTGGAGGCTGAACAGGTTCAGGTTCTAGTAGACTGATTATTTCCATTGAGTTCTTATGACTGCAAAACCGATTAAGGGCAAAAATTTAATCTGTACAGAGATTAAAAGTCTTCTTGTGAAAGGTCTAATAAGGATGGCCTGTTGTACTTATAAGTCGTCATGATAAAGCTGAGCTCATTCTCTGTTCAGTGTGTTCTGTGTACAGTGAAGGTATTTAGTTATTAGCTAAAAAGGGTCTAGTTTAGGGCACAAAACTTTTCAATACTGTTGGATAGAATAGGAAATTATGGAAAGTTTAGCGATATATATCTAAAAAAGCTTACACAATGCATGCACTCCTTAAATAATAGGAGCAATGAAGATGGGGCTCATTAAGTTAAAAAACATTTTGGCTAGAAATTGGATTACATATAAAATGATATTTGCTAGTCACCACCTATTTTAGCATAAGGAGAGAAGCAAACAGCAAAAATAGACCCTTTGCTGTCCACGTTCATTGGTCCCATGAAAATTAGGATTGTATTTATAAACACTTCTGTCTTCCTTACATGCTAAATGATACACTGCCAAAAAGGTCTCATCTTAGAAAGTTGTTGGTTAGCAACGTACAGCATTGATATCCCAGGAGAAACTGAATCAATGTATGCGGTCATTGTTAGGCCAGCGAAAGGAAAGTAGAAGACTTTGCTCCTTGCATGGAAGGAACAGGAAAAAAAAAATGAAAAAAACTTTACTGAATTTCAAAGACTTGGAGGGGTTTTTTTCTCCCCCAAATGGATGAGACAAAGTGAAAGTATAAATTAATATTTACCTGTGGATGAGTAGAGCAATGGAGCTGTTTTCCTCCCCCTCCCCCCTTCTGTTCCTCATTTTCCTGTTTCCTATTTCTATTTAGGAATGTTTTCTTCATGTAATTATTGTATATGTTGCATATACTCATTTCATTTATAAACCATGCATTCAAAGGCTTTTTTATATGCATTTATGTGCTTTTTGTGGATGTGAAAATTTTCACTATAAGCTATGGAAAAATATTAAACACATAACAAGAGAAACTTATAAAACAGGTTTTAAGGAAGAAACTGCAATACGTTGTGCTTTCAAAGTTATAAGTTTTACATAAATGCTTATTTCTACTTCTAAACATTCTAGGAGGGTTTTTCAATCATAAATTACCTACCTCGTGTATTCTTCTTGAAGCTTGTTAGGGTCACTTACAAAAAATTTGACTCTAAAGTTCAAACTGTAAGGAGATCCTCCTAGAACAAGAAAAGAATTTCTAATTAATCAATTATTTAAAAAAAACTTTAATAAAAATCATATTTGCAATTGACCAACTAAATACATGGACTCACTTTTTAATTGCTTCCTAATTGGCTTGTTTGGATCCATCCACCTCTGGAGAACAAAAAAAAAAAAAAAAAAAAAAAAAAAAAAAAAAATTATT